ACAACCCCCAATTCATCACGAACCCAATGGTCAAGGTCCAAGCGACGACAACTCAAAAAAGAATCTGCCCTTCCTGAACCAACTTAACTCTTATGGACCACCACCCTCACCCTACTCCCAGCCGCCCAACATTCACCCACCGACAACATGGTCATCACAAGCTGGTTCCCCCCATTCAATGATAGAACAGACTCCACCCTACCAACAGTCTCTACCACCTCAAGCTCATCATTCCCATCCTTACGAGAGTGCTGGTCCCATGCGACACATGAATCCCGCTCCCGGTTATTCCTATCAGAGTATGGGGTCCACCGGCACGCAAATCATCGAACAATCATTGGCTAAAATGTCAAAGGTAGCCGGTGCTCTTTACTGATCTCGCCCAGGGTACACACGTCCTTTCTTTCTTAACGAACTAACCCTCCCTCTGACAATCAAACAGGTGGTCGACTACTGCAATCAAATTTCTCAACATGTATCCCAATATCGTGATGCACAAACATTTCAGAATTCATGGTCCTCTGTACCTCGGATTAGCGAAGCGCGGCTGACCGACATGATAAACTTGACTCACGACGTGCTGGAAATTTTAAATGATCTAAAAGGTGAATTGACTTCAAAGGCAGTTACCGGGGTATTTACAGTTTTTCTTTCTTTCTTTTCTTCTTCCTATATACGACCAATTTTTTGGCACAAGATCCTTGTTCTGTTTGGTGGTACATTCTGACCTGGAAAATTTTCTAATTCAGAATGTCATGGACGAGGATTTTGACCTGGTACGGAAGACGCGTACGCAGCGCATGAAGTATAGGAAACGAAGTGTAAATTTCCATTCCCCACACCTTCATGTTACGAATTTGTTTGTTTGTTTTCGAGCTAACGAAATCTTCTTCAACCATCTCATCAGAAGCGAGCGGCACCGCCAGGAAGATGCCATTCATGTAATATATCAGAAACACCGGAATGGCGACGTGGCCCGAATGGAGCTAGAACACTGTGTAATGCATGCGGCCTTCGTAAGTGTAAACTCGCATTTCGAGAGTAACAATGATGATGACGATAATGATAATGAAACTGATCTCATGTGCTCGACTGGAATATAGACTTTGCCAAGATGACGCGAAAACGTGCCTTGATGTTGATGCAACAACAAATACAACATTCGGCGACAACCGAATCGTCACCATCACCAACTCATCCCGACATGGGTCATAATGTGCCGATCTACGGGAATGTCGGCGTTCACAACTTGCCGTTAACCTCAATGCCAACTCCTGGTGCATCCGATGCCGAAAGGGACAGCCCTCCAAGCAAACGAACGCGGGTCGACGTGCAAGGAGAGTTGGGCAGGAACTAATCTTCTATGAACATTGTTATGATCACCAGACATTTTCTTTATGCAATATATGTGCGCGCGCGCACACATATTTTATGTTTTCGTCTTTGCAAAATTTTTTTTTTTTTTTTTTGCACCACACATATTGTGGAAGTAGGTGGACTTTCCATAAAACCCGAAAAAGAAAGATTTTTTTTTTTTTTTGGATGAAATTTTCCTATCCTACCCCTCCCTCCAAACATCATGCATGACCGTCGTTTACGTAGACAGCTATTTTCAAAGACCGACGGAGTTTTCCCCGAGTCTAGAATTTATAGCTCCAAAGATTGAGACTTGAATCCGCGTCTTCGTCTTCAAAAATAATGTGCCCGTCTACACAATCATCTTCACACACACAAAACTTTTTAAACATTCCCGATTAGGGATTTCATAATACGTACACCTAATGCACTACAATTAGGGAGCATTGTCGTTTTTTTTTTTTTTTTTTTTTTTCCTTGCGCGTATAACTTTCATTGAGGTGCACAAGATTATTATACCCTTCAAGATCATCATCTCTATGAAATGCAAAGGATGAAACGAAAACAATTAAGATCTATGGCTAAACATTATGCGATGATTTCTTTTTAGCAGAAAAGAAGCACATAAACACCAGCGTACAGTGACAATTCACTTTCAACATATAATATTTTGGGGGGGGCAATGAGATTGTGTCACGATTTGTTTATTGAATGGTCCATCCCGATTGTTATCAGTTAAAATGATTTTTACACGTGTGATGCTTTTCTTAACCATTACTGATTCAAGAATGCTTGAGAATCATATGGATTGACGGTATTGTTGATGAACTTCAGGAGACGGTCTTTGAGGAACGTGCGCAAGTTAGCGAAAAAGAGAAATCACGTCAACGTGGTAACTTTTGTCAAAAAATTGGGTGGGAGAAGGAGAGAAACGGGTTTTGGATCAGGTGGGAGATAAAGAAAGAATCACTCGACCTCCCAAAGTCATTGTCTGCACCAAACCATTGGCCACGTGATTAATTCGAAAATTGAATTTTGAGGTGTCAATTGTCTTCCATAGATGCACGCAATACGATAATAATTCTGGTCCATCTCACAAAGGAAACGTTTTATAAGTGTTATTCTTCTTCTCTCACTCGCTCGACACTAAAAAAAAAAGAATCATGCCCCGAATCATTCTTGTTTTGACATCCCTCGCCCTGCTTATAACAATCTTTTTCACCGAGCCGAGCAATGACCATTGCATCGAACCAAATTTCTCAAATGGCTCTTCCGACTTGACCCCGATCCAAAAGCCGATATCAATCGCACAAACCGAATTACCGAACGAAATTGACGACCGTCAGCTTTTAACATCCATCGTCGAGTCTGACGACATAGCCTATTATCCCGAAAATAGTGAACGACCATACAAGATAATACTTTTGTCGAAAGTGCTCTCGAAGGTTGGGCGCATTAACAGCTACAATAGGATATACACCAAAGACGGAAAATATCAAATCAAGATCTACCGAATTAGAAGAATATTTCCGGGGGTGAAAAATTTGCTAAGAGGATGGTGGCAGCGATTGATATGAAACGGCAAATTCCATGGAACTACAATAATAGGTAAATTTGGTTTATCGACTTGCATTATGCATGGAGGGACGAAGCTTCTCTCACTCTCTTTTTTTTTTCATCCCGTGTTGACAACCCCGTTTCACCACGAGGCTTGATATGGCACAATAAAGTTATGCATAAAGAATTGCAATAAATGATAATTCATGATCGCAAAATTAAGATTAGGTGTGCCTGACAAATTCACATAAGAAAAAAACAAACAAACAAACAAAAACATTTTCAAAAGAAAACCGACTTTATAAATTCGATTATTTCTTGTACACTTTTGAAAAAAAAAAAAAAATCCTGTTAAATAAAAATAATGAACCCATGTCATGTCATTATATCACACAATGTTTTCGGTCATATGAATCGACCTCTATTTAACCTTCCTCCCTTCACCTTCCCTTTCATCCACCAAGGTCTTCCCGACCAAGATCTCGCTCAATAAAAACAGCAGTATCATGAACAACGAAAACAATGAACTAATCACAAAATGACTGATTGTGGTCCCAATTTCCAACCAGCTTCCATCGTCCCTCACCAGGTAAAAGAAGTTTAATGTCATGATATCCGAAGTCGACAATACCAATAGAAATAAACTGAACAATGGTAGATTCAATGATTTGTTGATGACCCCAAATACCGATGTAACAACGAAGAATGGTATAATGATTTTAAATAGTAGTAAAGCGCCCATCAAGAATGGATTGAAGATGGTGGTCAAGCGGTACACGCTTTGCAACGAGAAACTGGCTAAGCTTGCGACGTTTCCTGTCCCGAAAAATGCTACTTTGATGAAGAATAAGAATATCAGAGACACGCGAGAATCTCGAAGTTGAAGTTTCCGGGATTCACGTGACTTCAATGGTGGCGATAGTTGTTCGAAGTTGAACAGCAGTTTTTCAATTTGGTGCCATATGACAAGCGTTATGGAGAGGGAATAATAAAATAGCACCTCGTAAGAGATACTGAGAAGGACAAATAATGGCGAGAACGCGAGTATGATGGTACTTAATCGCTGAAGATAATGTTGTGGGGTTCTAAGACCGTATGCAAATGGAGTCGCCGCTGATATTACTACACATGTGCATTAAAAACTAAGATAACTTATTTCAGTGAGTGCGTTGACACACGAATAATAAAAAAATGCGCACCCAATATTATCCATGCAACGACCTGGTTCACGAAAGGCAATCCAGCCTTTGCTCTCAGTTTATTTGTTGTGTCATACACGATGACAGCACTTAGGACAACCAATCCGACCTAGACAATTGCAGAAATATATTTATTCCGCCCATCGGGAATGGTCCTATGATGTAACATTTGTAACTAACAATATGAACGCACCTGAAACCCAACCACCCTTTTCGATCCGGGATTTTGTTCAAAATTGAAATTCGAGCTTTTCCAAAGCGCAACGATGCCAGTTATTGCGATGAAAAATCCCCCAATCATTCTACACAAGTCTCCAATAATTGATATAACCATGGTGAAGGAAAAATCAGAGTGAAAAATAAAGAAACTCACACCAATATTATATCCTCTCCTTTTTCCACGGGAAGTAACGTGAAGATGCCGGATACCAGGCAAGAGATGAACCAAGATACAAATAGCAACGCATTTTCGGATTGAACTTTGCGTGGCATCAACAGTGGCCAAAAGGCGAGAAGCACGAAACACACACTCAAGATACTGCGTTCAAAGTAACTGTACACCTATATAAAAGCAATTGTGTACGTTAGATGAAAATCATGCCCAAGTTCTTCGGTTATTTTTTTACTCACCAAAATTTCCAGGACTACAATGTAGCCGACGACATATGACAAAAGTGAAATTGAACTTCGGTGATTTAAGGAGGATCTAATAGTATCAAAAAAGACGTCTCTCTCTAATAATACCTCACGCCAAAAATATACTGGAAATATTACATATGTGTAATACGTTCCTGGTGATTTCTGAACGTAGAGAAGTCCACAAAACAGAACCAACGAAACGAAGGCGGTGACATTTATCTATTCGTAGAACTAATTTAATATAAATTATTATTTATCATGAGCGATGATAAAAAGGATTCTCTGCATACGTAAGATCCATAGGAATCTATTTTCGTCTCAACGACCGAGTTTTCATCGAGTGCGTACTCCTTAAGAACAAATTTCAAACTATACATAATCCAGCCGATGTATCCAGTCGTAACAAAGGATCTCAGCATAAGCCAATCGTATCTGCAGTGAGTTGGACAGGACGAATAAGGTGGTTGTTATTAACTCGCTCAACTGTTCAGTCCCTGCGAAGTCGAATTGATTTACACACGTTTGGAAATATCGCAGTCCTTCTAAAGAAAGCTTGACCAACGTCACGCACAGTGCTTCCGCCTCTTCGTACTGCTCAGCATCAATATGTCCTTGAATCCGGTTGATCAATAATTCAAGGTTGTGCGTGGAATTGCTCAATCCAGAGTATGGTTTAAACCACAATTCCGTTTGCTTTTTGTGTTCTAGATGACCGTGAAATGTAGAAATTAGATTGTATATTCATTTATCGTCGACCAAAGTCAAAAAGCACATTAGCTAACCATATTTAACTTTGTACTGTTCTACAATTTCCTTGGAATTCACGAAAATGCTCTGTGCCTTAAACATCGGTGTGTTGTCCAGATAACGAAGGGGTAATTCTCCCACCGAATTTACGGGATAATTTATGCCAACTAGGGATGCCTATTTTTTAATCCATTTTTCACTCATTAATAATAATCATTGAGATTCAATGGTCGATCACCAAATCATCATACCATTAATGGTGCAATGTCGGCTTGCAGGATGTCATTGCGTTGGACGCTTTCTAACCCCCACTCTTCCGAAAATTCATCGTGCCCTGTCGGATGAGTTTTATTGGGTTTTTTAATTCCCGCACCCCATGCTATTATTGGTGTACGCGTATTATCCGGATGTCCATCCCCGTGGTTGCCTATAAGAAAAATAACAAAAGAAGTTAACACGACTGACAATATAACAATGAATCATCTTATGATGAATTGAATATCCACCCCGGTTGCTCATTCCATGGTCGGCGGTAAATATATATGCCGTCTTCCCGTCGTTTCCATAAAAGTCTTCAAGAAGCTTAACGGTCTTACGAATTCCTTCGTCGACGACCTTAATGTTATTTATGTATTCTTTCGAGTGAGGCCCGTAGGCATGCCCATTGGTGTCCAATCCAAGCAAGTGTAAGAATATCACTATTTGATCATCATGAATTTTTCTATGCAGATCGGGATCAGATGATGAGTTGGCGAGAAGTTGAGAGAATTGGTTGAAAACCCAGGTGTCCAATTTGGTAGCATCTGAAATTTGTACAATAGATTTTTAGCAGGCAGCAAAATTGGAAGACAAGGAGAATCCATACCTTCGGCAAAATTTTCGCTATCGTGGCTATACATGATAGCATCAACCCGAGTCGGATCAGATGCGCCCTCGGCGAACATTGGCAATATGTCGGGTGAACCAAATGACCAAGTGTGTCGGCTCTGATTGAAAACAGAGTCGAACTCGACCGGATTTGTTTTCCAACCTGAAAGAAACCAAAGACGGTCGATCATCCAAAACCAGCGGATACAATCTGCTTGAGTTAATTCAAACCTTTGGTCACGGCACTAACATCCTCGTAAAACCCCGCAATGATTGCGACGTGGCCGGGTCTTGATTCAGTGGGCACCCTCGTGTGGGATACACCCCAAGTTCCATGATTTAGTATAATATCCCTTAAAAATGGTGCATACGTAAAAAATTTGTCCTCGTCGTGTTCGTCCTGATAAAGTTGATATAACTTATCAGCTCTTAGGCCATCACCTATTACGAAAAGGAAATGTTACTATTACTGCAATTAAATGAATTTAATCGGAGAATCGGTGAACAAAACTTGCCAACAAATAGTACAAGTCTTCTGGCAGGCGGTTGTATATCAACCTACGACGGAATTATTGGATATGAATGATTTTTATCAATCAGAAAACGAAACGTCTAATTCAACTAAAGAATACCTTGTATGGAGTCATACCATGCACTAAGGGGGACGTGAAATATATATCAAAGATACTCCGTATGTATGTCACATGAAATAAGAGACCAACTAGTAAAAATGAATTTCTCGAGAACTTTGCCATTTAATTTAACTAAAATAAATTTAATAATCCGTCTTATCGTTATCACGAAATTATTTATGCGTGAAAAAGGTGTGCATTTCTGATTGGATCGACGATGTCGACATCTAAAGCATTAGACTAATATTAATTCAACAAATCGTAGAAATTTTTTTTTTGTCATATCACTAAAGCAAATAAAGAAAACAAATACAATGCGATACAAATAAGTAAAGATACATTTATCTTTCAATCAGTAAAAGATTTATTATAGTGGATATAAGAGTTTTTTTATAAATGATAATATAAAAAATAATAATTTTTTTAATTAAAAAAGATATGAAAAGTTGAAAAGGTTAAAGTAAAAAAGTATATACAGTATATATAATATTACAAATGTTTTTGAAAAAAAAAATTAAAATTTTTACAATGCTTAAAAGGCCAATAAAACTGATTTTCAGTTTTTTTAAAAAATTTTTTTTTTAATAATTTGCTTGGAAAACAAAGAAAGCCAGTCTCCAATATAAGATAAGAGCCTTAACAAATCTAAAGATAATAGCTTGTTACTAAGCTCTAGCAAACATGTAACTTGTTTTTTTTTTTTTGAGTACCCACAGTCAGGCTAGATTATAGTTTATCAATCAATTGAAAATATTAGTACATTTTCATTCAAGTAGCATAATACATATTACAATTAAATATTTCTATCAAATTTAACTAACTTGTTATAAGCAATAATGGCCTTTAAATTTGACTTTGAGAACAATATTTCACTTTATAATGATCTTTGGATAAAGATCCTATTAGTCCATCACTTCATTATCAATAGATTATTATTGTTAAATATTCTATTAAGTTATTGAAATACAGAAAACTATAAAAAGATGGATCGACCAACTCTTTCTCGTTCACCTGTGGCGCAGTAGAATTGGAAAAAGCGAACAATATGAACCGAACAACTAGGAGTGCAAACTCCAACCTCAGGCCTAACTACA